AGAAGAGTATATAATATTTATATACGGCAAATATAATAAATAAACTCACGCACCCTCCTCACATTTGATGAGGTTTGAAGCATTGGCCTGCTAGGAAGCCAGTTTGAAGCATTGGCCTCCTAGGAAGTCAATGACTCACATGCCGCTAAGTGAAAGACCCTTTTGGTACTGTTAATATATATTAGTTTACATTTTGAAGAATTTCAGAAAACATCCGTCTCTTGAAAATACAGAAAAAGATGATTATCGTATTCATATTGGAGGTGATTTTCATAGCGGGGATGGTAGCATTTACTCTAATAGTCGAACACACAAATGACGCGAGATCTATGGTTGTCGGACTACTGTGTGTCATCGTAAATATTATAATGTATACAGCTCCGTTAACAGTCATGGTACCCTACAAACCATTATATCTGTACTAAACTTATCATTAGTTTTAAAATTTTCCCGAATCTAATAAACAATATCTGGTCAACAGAAAACAGTCATCAAGACGAAGAGCGTAAGGTACATGCCAATTTGTTTATCGTTTGGCAACTTATTAAACGGATCGATTTGGGTCGTTTATGCTGCCCTTGAATTCGATCCTTTCATCATGGTAAAATAACCCCACATGTGCGTTTTGCTTTTTTCCGCATATTTTGCTTTTTTTTTCCTTATCGATGATGAGTTGTTTTTGTTTTTTTGCGGGAATAGATTCCCAACGTTATTGGGGCGATTTCGGGAATAATTCAGATTGCATTATACGTAAAGTACAAGAAAACAACCAACTGGGAAGACGATGAACCGCCCAACGAGCTTGAAATGCCTCCAGCACCCTCCAATGCGTAATCACGAAAGAAACGACCTTACAGTTAAACGTCGTTCCTCTGGTTGCTACGGGATTATGTATATATGTAACTCGTAACTCAGGTGTCGTAGTCGCAACCTTATAACGCCTCCATAAAACGAAGGTTATCATCGTCATCCTCGTTTTTGTCAAGAGAAACATATGTAGTTTTGCATATTTTTTGAAAGAAATGAACAATCACAGAAGAAAAAAGATCGATTTTGTTTTATTCTGCTTCGTTATAGAATTTCATGTCAAAATATTCCGTATGGTTCGGGGAACAGTGAGCAATTTGGTGTCCTACACAGTGCAAGTACACACCACTTTGGCCACGAAATAAAAAGTACGTATTCGAAAGGACTTGACACAACAGTAATAGTACGAGTCTTTTAAGTAACAAATAAATACTGTGGTTGTTGTTTGATGAGTTTTTTGAGGTATAAATATTTATACGACAAATAGAACAAATAAACTCGCACACCCTCCTCACCTTTGGTGGGGTTTGAATCATTCACCTTCTAGGAGGCCAAAGACTCACATACCGTTAGGTCAAAGGCCATTTGGTTGTTGTTTGACGAGTTCAGGTAAGTATACAAGAATAATGATGTCGAACTGTCCTTTGGCATGAAGGTATATAGTACAACTGTTCACTGCTTTGGTGACCAAACAGGAATAATGATAACTCAAATAACACAGACTGATACACAAATACAACACTTTCTGGGCTTTAACAAATACTCTTTTCGTCTTAAAATAAGTATATACAATGAAAAATACAGACAATTTTATGAATACATAACTGTTATATTTTTTAATTAATTAAATGATAATTTTTCTCTTAATAATATAGAGAAAAAAATTTTCAATCTCATAATTAAGGGTAGAAATAGAATCAGAAAGTGAACATTATTTTTAGAAGTGCTGATTTATGTTAAGACAAACTAAAATAAAAATATGGACACTTATTTTGAGACAGTTAGAGTAACTTTAAAATTATCAGTATACCCCCTTTATATATAGGCCAAGTTTCATTTACAAACCATTCAATTCTAAAAAACTTAGCAAACTAATCATGTCTGTCCATTCTCTTTTTAATTTATTTTTCTGTATTTTTATATTTAATTGAGAAAAGGGCAGTTTAGACAGTTTTCATCATTTACTGTTCGGTTTTTATTTTTAATTTATTTACAGTAATGATGTTGTAAAAATGATCGGGTTCATTATTACGTATAAAATATATGTTTGAAGATATCATAAAATTTCAAGATTAGAAGTAAATTATGCATAAGATATCATAAAATTTTGACAAAAATATATCGATATTACTAACTGCAGATAAACATAATCAAATAAATGATAAACATCTCATTTTAAAATATAAAAAATCTAAAATATAATTAGGATAATTATCGAGTTCTAACAAAATAAATAATTATTATCTTTATAAGAAAATTATATTATTAAACTAAATATAAATTCCTTCATTATTGTACCTAAATTAAATTATAAAAAAATTGAAGTAAAAAATTACACAAAAAAAATGAGGAATTTTAAATAGTTAATTTGATACTAATATCGATATATTTTTGTCAAAATTTTATTATATCTTCAAACTTATATTTATTCAAAAATAAAAACATCATCGTTTTCTCAAAATCATATAAGACCATGTTATAAAATCGACTTAGATAAAGAATAAAAATAAAATATTAAAATCAAAATGTATCTCGTTGCATTACACGAATACCCTTCTAATATATATATATATATATATATATATATATATATACACAAACGCAACATTGTTATTTTGTGTTTGATTATTCCGTTTCAAATGAATTATTTTGCCGGTATTCAAAGTACTAAAATCTATTTTTTTTTCTTCTAGAAATTAATATCCTATAAATAATCGTATTTTTTGAAAATAACTCTGAAACAATCATAAAAGTTTCTGACCACTTAACTTATAACTAGTTGTGTATCCGTGCAATGCGACGGGAGYCATGAATTTTAACGATTTTGAAGTTTCACTGGTTTTATAAGACAAGATTTAATGATGATATAGGTTACACTTGATCTTTACATATTAATATAATTTGAATAAATAAAAGTTATGGTTCTAATTACAGACTATCGATGAAAAAAATTGTATGACAATTTAAAATCCAATATATTTAAAATTCAACATATGTAAACGACTCCACAAATGTGTTCGATTTACACCAAGAGCAAAGAACCAAAAAAACTTTGGACAGCCTAATCCCAAAATGTATAGCATATATATAAATAAATAACTATAAAAGTATAAATCGTAAACATTAAAAATATTTTTCACAGTATATATAATATATAATAATATAATTAAGTCAAAAACTATTCAATATTGGACTCATTTCGAATGTATTAACGAGACGATTATAATAGTGTAACTTGTTAAAATAAAAATGTATTTTTTAAACATGTTTTATTTGATATACGATTATGTATGTTAATTTAATAAAGGTTTAAAATGAAATATTTAAAAGTAAATGATGTAAAGTAATTAATTAACTAATTATAGTGATATAAAATGTAAATTTAAAATTATAATTTAAAAAAATCCATTGAATGTGAGAGGTAAATGTATGTGAGGGAGTGAATGTATGTGAGAAGAGGAAGGGGTGAAAAAGTAAAAAAAGTGAAAAGGGTATCTTGGTCATTTAGAATTTTAAGACTTTAAGACTTTTGATGAATTTGCTTAATAAGATCGTATAAATACACTGAATAGTGTAGTAAATCAACACGTGGGTCATTCGAATTATTCAGTGTCAACCACAGTTCTTTACTCAATTTCTCCTACACAGCTAAAAACTTCTTAGGTGACTTATCTGGTTCATTCTCAATATTACGCATTTTTGCTGATTATTCTATTGATAAATATATCAGTAACTATTCTGCCCATTTTATCGCACCTTTTACAGTTATTTATCGATTAGGTTTCTTTGAGACATTGAGCCGACCAAGGCCGGTCCTAGGGTTTTAATACCCTGTGTGAAAATGCAGTAAACAAAAATACCCTGTATTTATTTTTCAAGCAAATACGTACGATTTTTAAAGAGTTTGGAACCTAATGAAACTGGACGGCTCATCTTTATGTTGATTATTATTAATTATAACAAAGAAAATACAAAGCGGGAACAAAAAAACCAAAACCCCGAATTACAAAAGAAATAGAACCGATTATTATTGACTAGATGAACATTTGAGAACAGATGAGTTGTATTTCCCAGTATATATATTGGACATCGACCGTCGTGGGGCAAGGCAAGGGATTCAGCCATTCGGGATTTCCATCTTCGATTTATTGAATCTAGCTTCATGACCGTTAATCAGCCGGAAGTGGAACACCATGCCATGAAAATCGGAACAGCCGAACTTTAAAAAACAATAGAACTCAACTTGAGTTGTTGGAATGTTTGGTTCACCTGTTGACAATGCGTATTCAGTATCCGTCACTACCAATCCCTTAGTCATGTTTTTATAGTTAAAGTACAGATGCCCAGTTCCCAATTTTATCAAACCCAAAACTAGTAATAGATGAAAACTTGATGCCTCATTGGGCTTTGTTTTGACCTGTGCGATTCTACGAGCTGCGCACATGGCCAGGGCCGGGCCTGGACCCGACTATCGAATATCATCATTTATCATTAAAAGACAGTTAAAATTAATACAAATACATATAAGTTGATCCGAACATCTACAGTTAAAAACCGGATCCGAAATGTGGATATTAAGTAGCATGCGTGTCCACAAAAGGACAAGTCTTTGAATCATTTGGAAGGCACGCTTCTTTCCCATCATATCATTCAGCATCTGGATTTGCTCTTCAGACAAGATTTTATAACAATAAAATATTATTTTTCTATTTGGTTTAAACATTTAATATTAAGGGGCCGTTTACTCAAATGTTTACGGGTAAAAGCCAACACTATAATCTATTTTACCAGGTAAGATTGTAGTATTTAAAACGGTATCGTATGCAACAATTTATCCGGTAAACGCTTACCCGGGTAAGAGTCATCATCATCACTTATTGGGTAAGACTCTCTAACATTATCATTGCTTCTACCGGGTAAGATTTTCGGTCTTTGTCATATTTATCAGGTGAGGAAAATTACCCGATAAACATTTACCAAGTAAGTGTTTAATAAACAGCCCCTAAGATTTTTATTTATCGGAATATAATAAAAAATATTTCTCCATCATGGTAATCATTTCTATGTAATTCTCCATATACAAGGATTTTAACACACTCTCTCTCTCTCTCTCTCTTATTTTCTTCATTTTAGAGAATCTGTTGTAGCAAAAAACGTGTCAGGAATCCCCGAAATCATTTTCTCTGGTTTGGATAATTTGTTGGATGTGCGTTAAATAACTTTTTTGAAAGTGGAGTATAAGACTGTGATGTATGCGGATTTGACATTTATTCTAAAGAATAAAACGTCTGATTCTATGAAAAGCGCGGCTTATAAAAACAAAAAGTATGTGAGAGAGAAAAACGCGGCTTACGATTTTTAGAAAAAGTTGTCACGGAGTTCGAAGAAAAAAAAAGTTCAGAGATCTCGGAAAAATAAATATCTGAGGTTAAAAAGATATTAAGCAAGGGCGTAAAAACATAAGTCGGTACAAAGAACGAAATGATTGGGTTGAGAAACTACGCAACGTCTGTACTAACGTAAACCCAGTTGACCCATGTGACTGACGTAGCATCATTGCTTTGAATTGTACAACAAATTAATCAAAGGTTATAATTACAAATGTAGACCGACGTCTTGTTTCAACACCAAAAGTGCGGCAAGGAGAGCAAAACCTTTCAAGTATGATCCCGAATGGGGCCATGGGGTTCATGAAACACACGTCTTTTAACCGAATGAAAGGGACAACATGTGAGTTTTTTCCGCTTTTAAGAACCAATAGTTTGAAAAACATCTCAAACTACAAACCCCTAAATACGTATACTGAGGTAAGTCTCTGTATGACCACAAACACGTATGTAGATGGCGGAATTTGAACCCAGATTGATTTTAGAGTAAATTACGGTTTTCGTCTATGTGGTTTGTTAATGTCTCTGTGATTTAGGAATTATGGTTTTTCGCCAATTGCTATTTTCGTACTTATAATTTACAATTTATTGTTGTTTCGGTCCATGTGGTTTACAGTTCTTTACTGTTTTGGTCTCTTGTACTTACAGATAGGAAATTAGTTCAGGGACGAAAATAACAATAAATTACAAACAATATAGACGAAAACAGAAATTTCTAAGGAAAAAAATTGAAATTATTAACAAAAAACGTGGAATTTACTCTTGATTTTATCATGCCTCGTCTTTATCCACCACCGGGGACGGATCTATAGTGGGATATACGGTGTCACATGCCACCGTATTATTCCTCCGTCGAAGGGTACAAAAATTTAGGTTCGTGAAAGATGTAATAGTATTAATATGTTGTATGCCAACGTATGTATTTTGAAACTACAATAAAAACAAATTTTATTTAGTAGAGTTGGTATGCAAGACTTTTATTCCACCCCGGACCCAAGTTCGAATTCTGTCATTTTCTTAGTCAAATGGTGTCACCGTTTGAAAAAGATTCTGTATATTTCTTTCTTATAGTCAAACAATGTCACTGTTTAAAAAAAATTATGGGTCCGTCTCTGTCCACCACACTAAGGAAAGTGTTATTTGACTGATAAACACGATGCTTTCATTACTGTATATGTCGATATAATCAGTGCATTTACGAATGAACTGAGGGGGTGTTTGAGATTGCTTATTTTATCTGCTTATTGACTTATTTCAGTCTGACACCGGTGATAAGCTAATACCTAGTGTTTGGATAAGAAAAAAGAAAACTGCTTATACCGGTGTCAAACCGGTAATAAGTAGTTTTTGATAAGTTAATCCGTCATGACTTATGAAAAACTGTTTATTACCAGTTTACCATTTTAACACTATTACCCTTTATACCTATCTCTTTTCCTCCAGATAACATCGATCTCAATCTTCCCCCTTCTCCAGATAACATCAATCTTCTTCCTGTCCTTTTTGGTCATTTTACAGATATAAGCAAAATTTATCAAACACTAAACAACAACTTATCAACTTATTGCAATTTGGTACCGTTATAAGCTAATCCAAATATTTTTTACAAAACTCCGGTTTGATGCCACATAAATTAATAAACATTTTTAAATAAGCAATCCCAAACACCCCCTGAATATCGACATCGACATAAAAAGTTAAGAACGGTTATTTTCTTATAAAAAAAACACAAAAACAAGTAAAAACACTAAATTTAGAACCATCGACAACAATGAAATTCTAAAGTCTCATAACATCCCTATGAATTTATGAATGTAACCAAAAAAAAAAACACACACACACACACACAATTTCATCATCAATCCGACGTCGTCCACGTCATATCGTTCTCAAATATCCAGTGGCAAACTTCAATGCGACCAGGGCCAGACCCAAGTGCCATGAAGGCTCCATGACCTGGGCTCCATGCTGACGTGTCAATGTGACATATGGCAACCCCATTGTTTATCTTTTCCTTGCTGGACACGTCAAGTATTTCCGCCACGTAGACTCTCACTTTCGGGACAGAGTGGCAGTAATACAGTAGGTATGGGTACAGGCTTTGATGGCACGACACCGATTTCGTTATCTTTCCACCGTTGATTCCTTTGACTTCTCCGATCATCACCTCCTTCTTTGACCCCCGAACATTCTCCGTCGTCCTCACCACCACATCGTGACCCAAAACCGAAACCGTGAAATCGACCATGTCCTCGATCGAGCCAACGCACCGCTTGGTTTCACCCCGGCTCGGCGCCCGCTCGCACTCGGACAATGTGTTGGTCAACACGCGGTCCAAAACGGTCTTGTCCTGAGCCTGGAAGATTTCCTTCACGTCGGAGAGTTTGTCGGTGGCAAACGGTAATTTCGACGTGATGGCTCGGGGCAAAAACGACCGTTTCGGCATTTTATCAACGATATCGGGCATCGTTACGATAGACCCTTTTTTTAACATTTTCTCCCGAAAGAATTTGACCGGTTCGGCCCATTTATTCACCGAACTGCCATCAACCTTCGTAGAACCCTCTTTCGATCCCGGCTTTGTGTATTGACCAAACGTCACACCAGTTTTAGTATACTCTTTGAATGTAGAATTCATCGCGTAAATACTGAAACCGGTGGTTTGAACCGTGGATCCTTTACCGTATTCTCTAAACGAATCGGATCCCGGGTTGAAAGATTTACCATAATTCACGAAATTCGTCTTCCCGGAATTCGATTTTCTACCGTATGACACAAATGTGTCGGTACCGGAGTTTGCTCTGTCACGGTAACTCACAAAAGTATCCGACCCAGCGTTGCCGCCGCTACCACCGTAACCTCTAAAATCATTTTTTGGGTTATTAGCATTCGTTGAATAGGCTTTGAAAGTATCATTCGCGCCGTTACCCAACTCGCTGTAGTGCGAAAACGTCGACCCAACCACATTCGACGTGTCGCCATAGCCGGTGAACCCCACCGGAACACCATTCCCATTCTTGGCGTAGTTCAAAAACAGTTGATTCCCGGAATTCGTGTCATCAACATAGCTCTTGAACGACATCGGGTGGTGGTTCCCGTTAGCAGAGTAGGCCGCAAACCGGAGGTCCGGCACGTTAACCCTCGGCATATAAGAAGCGAAATCGCCATTCCCTCCGGTGGCATCAGAGGCGTAGCTGGTGAAGTTAGAGTTAGCCACATTGGCATCAGTACCATAGGAGGCGAACCCTTCACGGTGGCCGGTGGCGGCGCCGGTGTATCTGGCGAAAGCACTGGTGGCAAAGTTGGTGTTTTCCGAGTAATTCTTGAAGGTATCACCGCCGCCGATGTGGGAGGCGCCGTAGTTGGAGAAGCTTTTCGGGTCGTAAACGGCAAAGTTGGAGTCTTTAGGATGACTTGATTCCGGCGAGGAGGAATCGGAGAAGCAGACCAAATCGGCGGAGGAACAGAAGGAAGAAAGATGGGAAGAAAGAGAGTGGTTGGAGGCTAGTTTTGTGAACAAAGAGTACTCAAATGGTGGAAGTGGAGAGGCTTTAGAGAGAAGAAAAGAAGGGATGGGAAGGTCATTGGAGATTTGGGTTTTCCAGTAACGAATTAGAGAAGATTTGGGTGAAAATGGGCTTGATTTTGTTAACAAATCTGGTGTTTTTAAGGTGACAGTAGCAGCAGAAGTAGAGCTTGTTTGAGCCAAGGAAACCTGCATGCATATAAATATGCATATGTGAATATATGTATATGATTTGGAAAATAAGAACAAATTAAGGTAAAAGACAAGTAAAATGAAGAAGCCAAATGTAGACAACTTACAGTGAAGGATGATAGTAATAAGAAGAAGAAGTAGAAGAGGTTGAGATGGACTCTTTTGTCCATCTTGATTTGTTTGTGTGTAGAAGGTGGGTGGGGGTGTGTGTATGTGTGTGTGATTTATGGAGGATGGTGGGATCTTATAAATCAACAGAAAGCAGACCACTTTTCTTTTCTCCATATCCTGTAATTTGTTTTTTACTTTTACTTTTGCAGGCAACGGTACAAGAAATGACAAACTACACTAATTTTTTTATTCATTTATGCTATATTATAAAGCATTTGATAAAAACTTTTAAAAATCATTTTATACATAAAATATTATTTATTGATGTATATTTCTCATAATATGGACATAAGTATGACATGAACTACTTATCTTCAACTCTTTTCAAGATTTGAATGCCAAATCTTCAAATGAACAGACCAAAAAGGGTGACTTCTTGGAGGCATTTTCTTCTTTTCCTTTCTGTTATTCTTTTATAAAAATGGTGAAAAAGACACACCCAAGCCAAGGACCATACTTTCAATTTGCTTAAAATGGACCATGAAAATGGGTTCCAAGATGGTCCCTAATTTCCAAATCAATCACCATATTACAAATCAAAGTGTGGTCATTAGACCCTAATCTTTAATTTTAAGGTGTGTGTGAGTATTTTGACTCTATATAAATATATACTTAAAAAATGAAAATGACTTGACAATTATTGTGAGTTTTCTCTCACCTTGATCCATGAAGAACATCCACTGATTGGGTTGGTGACCTACACATTAAACAATGAGCACTTTGAAACTAGACCACTCCCATACAAACAAACATTATATATTATTATTGATATAACATCAAAATTAGAAATATGGCACATTGAAACCTAACACATATATATATATATATATATAGTAAGGTTTAGAAAAAAAACCATAAAAAAAATAAAAATTAATAAACATCATGTTAATCATTCATCTAGATGGTATTTACATGTGCATAATATGCATAGGTGTATAAAAATCAAGAAACAATGTCAATTACTTGTATGTATATGTACATACCGTCAATTACTTGTTACCAGAGTGTTCCTCGGTTTTTAGTTTTTTTTAGGGTTTTCCCCCTGAACCTCCCTTCTTCTCTCTCTCTCTCTCTCTCTCTCTCTCTCTCTCTCTCTCTCTCTCTATATATATATATATATATATAAGGTTGGATTATGTGAGAATGAAAATTATGATGAGAAAGATAAGAAAAGATCTCAATCCTTGGATCAATCATAATTAAAATTTAATAAATTCTCTTTATAATGACCCTAATTCATGAGTTGGTTTACGATTAAAAATTATTTTTAGTTTAGCTACTATTCTCACCATATCCATATCCATACTATATATATATATACATGTATATATATAAAAATAAGTGAAGAGTATCCAAGTGATGCGCAGAAAACAATGAAACAAGACTAGTTTAATATACCAATTGTGGAATAGATTCCTACTGCAACAGGCATCAGTTTCAAAGACCAAAAAATATGGGACTAGAGGATGTAGACAAAAACATGCCAGGAATCTTGATGAAATTTTGCAGTTCCACATACCCACCACTCTCACCCTAAACTCTCTCTCTAACAAAATGTCTACACAACTTCAGGATTTCTTGCTTTACTTTATTTAGTTTTTACTATGATCCTTGCTGCTCTTCATTCTGCTACTTAATATACAACCTACAAAAACTTACAATTTCATGCTTCAGGTGATCAATCATGGTCGTTTTCAAAAACTCCAGTTTACAGAGCTCATTTTAAGCAAAATGGTTCAAAAGTTCATCAGTCAAATGAACAAATGATAAATAAATAAAAAGGTCATTAAATCATCTTTTTTTCTATGTGTTACTTTATTGTTTATGGGTCACGACAAACACATCTCTCCCTACTTGTTAAATGCATCATATTCTACTCATTTCCTCCTTATGTCGATCAATATATCAAATCCCTCTTTTTACATTTTTAATGAATGATTTGAACTATAAATTATGATGTAAATGAGGTGTATATATACATTTGGCTAACTTTGGTAATATATTATTTATCTTTGACATGTGGGTTTTGTGTATTGCTGTTAAAAGAATCACTTTATCTTTTCCATATTGAAGTTTCTAAAGTGTGCTGTCATTTTTTAGAAAAGCTTACAAAATTATTATGCATTTGGAGCACTGTAGATATTACTATCAATTTGACAAAGTTGTAAGAAAAAGAAGTTATTGCTAATGTCTTAAGTGCTTCTAGATGAAAAGAAAATTAAGAAAGGGTTATTGGTCAATCGGTATCCGTTCAAATTACCAGTAGATCTCAACCTCCATGGAAGTCAATGAGCATCATCAAAGGTGAGGAGTGTAGTTTTACCGTGTATATATATACTTTAGAAAATTAAGAGAACATGTAAACCACGGTCAAAATTACTAATTTCAAGTAATAACGAAAAAGAAAACTACTATTAGAAATAGATGATGATTCATCCATCTGCTAATATGATTACCTCAATAAGGACAAAAAATTGCTTGGCAGCCCTTGTATTCAATGCATCATCCGAAATTCAACTAAACTTACACTTTCTGTGATAAAAGGAATTCATGCTTAAAGCAACACTTGTAATAGCTTTATCTCATACAAGATCAAGATGTTTAGTAGCTTTATCTCATACAAGATCAAGAATATATACCTTAGCAGAACCTTTATTTTCCTTGTCCACAAAGAACGATATCAAACAGATCCCTGGAATAAAGGAAATCAAAGACCGTCATTTTTGTACAATAGCTATGAACAATGTCAGCCTGCAAAAGTAATAACATACCCCCCATTCCCCCAAAACACTAGAAGGCTAAATTGTTATAACTGGTATTCGTCCGATGTGATGGAGTCTCACATCAGCTAGACTTGTTCTTCTCTATATATATGTTAGAACCTAAGGGAATTTTTGGAGGGTAAATCTGCAGATTCCATGGAAAACTTGAACAGAAGATGACCAACTAAAGGAAATTATACTACCTATGGATGGTAAAAAACTATAGACAACAATATTCATCAAAGCATGGTTCCTGATGAAACACCACCATGAAATGCTTGAAAGCTTCAAATTGGTGATTGAGCACGGCTCCAATACACTACCCAAGTTAAACCTAGATTCATATCCGCAAATCCTTTGTACAGTTCAATTCATGCATACTGAATTATAATTAACAGACATGATCGACAAAATAGCTACATACAGATAATCCTGCACACTACTCGATCTCTCTAGTTCACTGTTGCAGGGTTGCACCAAAATGTAATTCGTTATGACAGCTAAGACAAAATAGAATAGGGACGAATTTGTGGCAACAATGAAATCGATGTGTATCAAATTTTAACTCCAAATTGACGCCGAGTATCAATTTCGTAACTAAGAGATTGATGACATCGAAAGAATAAGTAGTAATACTCTGATAACTTTACAATAAATTAACCAAAAACCTACCCATTCAAATGTCAATTTTGATCATGAAAAACATTACAATTTTGAGATTGATAATAGCATGAAGTTGAAAATGAGAAGAGAATCGATAGAACTTACTGGGAACGAGAACAGGAGATTGCTTGCCTTTGAAGAATTCGTCATTCCAAAATCCTAGAAACTCCTTTGAATGCAATTAACCTGTAGTTAGGGTTCACTCCAATCGATTGTATATTTTGGGAGGGAAAATGTTGTGGTTTATACATCCAAATTTTGCGCGCGCACACATAATGTTGTATTCAATCTCAACCATAAATCAATTATTAAATTATGAAATTAATAATTTTAATAAATTGACTTAAAATTTTAATTAAACGATATTTTAGGTATTTTAAAAATATTATATATCTTATGTCCTCTTTGCTCTCTTTGTCGAACTTTATTTCGACGAACCTTATTCCGGCAAACACATGATGCACACTGTGATACGTTCTATAAAATAACGAGAAAACATATTGTGATACACTTAGTAAAGCAACATTACCTGATATATTATGTTACACTTCGTAAAACAACAAAAATATATTGTGATATACTTCATATAAAGACAAAAATGCACTGTGATACATAGGGGTGTAAATGATTCGAGTCGAGCTCGAGTATCACTATACTCGACTCGAACTCGAAACCGAATTTCCAAGCTCGAACTCGACTCGAAAACTCACGAGTAGTAAAAATCAGAGCTCGACTCGAACTCGATAACTATTTCTCAAGCTCGAACTCGAACTCGAGCTCGAACTAAGCTCGAATCAAGCTCGAACTAAGCTCGAATCAAGCTCGAACTACAACTCGAATCAAGCTCGAACTCGAACTCGAATCAAGCTCGAACCAAACTCACTCATTGAAATTTATAAAACTTAGGGTCTTTCTCTTATAAATTTTAAAACTTAAAAGTGTTCTCTTAGTTTTTATAAAAATAAAGAGATCAACTTCAAACTTCATCATGAAAAAGACAAAGTTAGAAAATTGCATTCATCTTCCTCTCTTTTTATAACATCTTTTCTTTCTTCCTTTACCATCTATCTTCCAATGTAGGACAACTTCACTAACTTTTTTTTATAGTTTTTCTTTGTCTTTTTTTAATTGTTTAAATATCTAAAAATATAAGGCATTTATATTATTTATATTTTACATATTTTATCATAAAACYTGATTATATACTTTAAAACTAATTATATATAAAATAATCGAGTATCTCACGAGCTTTTCGAGTCGAGCCTATTCGAGTCGAGTGTTGACCGAGCTTTGACCGAGTCGATCTCGAGTAGCTCGCGAGTTGTCTCGTATCGTTTACACCCATAGTGATACATATTATGATACAAGATCTGGTTGATGAATACAACTGTGTTAATGTTACCACTATATTACACTCAGCGTTACATCTCCAGAGAGATATAGGTTACATCCAAAATCCTTGCATCTTTTGCGTTACATCTCCGGTGATATCTGAGTTACATCTCCAGCAAGATCTTGGTTAAGTCCCCAATCTAAAATGAGATCTGAACAAAAACCAGAAATCGAAATTGATTTGGGTGTGCAGAAACCAGATCTCTTGGGATATGAAAAAACGAAACCGATATGAGTTGTTCAACAGGGGGAGTCGGACAGGTGAACATGAGAGTTGAGGAGATGATGGGCGGTGGTTGGAGATGGATAGAGAATAAGAAGCAGCGATGGCTGGTGGGTGGAGAAGGAAGCGTCAGACAGTGTTGAGCAAAGGGGTTGGTGTATTGCACCGGAGAGGAAACATGTTTTGACCGACGATGAGGAAAGAGGGTCACAGGTGGTGATCTCGTCAATTCTAACATATACATACACACACACACATATATATATATATACACACACACATCTCTTTCAAAATTAGAATATTAAACTAATTAAAGTAAATTGAATACTCAACACAATTTACAAATTTACCCTTCTACTTATTTTAAAAAATCATAATAATTATCCTTAATGATTGGTTCATATTGGATCTCACGGTTACCACAAACTAAACAATTTTCTTTTGATTATGCCTATATATAGATATACACACACACTTAGGATCACGTGAGATCAGTCTGTTTTTGTGAGATCATTTTTTAGAGTTGAAATTTCACATCAAAAAGCTGTGAAGGTAACCTTCACAATGTTTTTGTTGTGAAGGTTATCTTCACAGCGTCTTGCTATGAAGTTTCAACCGTAAAAAAGTAATGTCATAGGTCTCAGCCCAATATCCACCAATGTTTTTTATATTTCAATAATTGAACTAAAGATGGATAAATTGGGCCTGGCCCGTTTAGACTCGATTGAGATCGGATCGATTACAGCTTGGCTTGATGGTATGAGAATGGCCCAACGATACGGGATTGGTTGCATCACATGTATTTTGGAGTTTTAAGGTTCGGTCTATAATTAGTTGTTTATATTTTATAGGCACGATTTTAAAAAACATTGTAGCTTTTATAAATTATGGTGTAAACTACATTTTCCATTCCTGTGGTTTGTTTAAGAATTGTTATTTTCGTCTTTCTATTTTAGAAATTACTGTTTTCATCCCCTTGGTTAATAATTTATTACTACTTTTGTCCCTTTGATTTATATGTTTTTCCTGTTTTCATCCATATGGTTTATAATTCTTTTTTTATTTTTGTCCCTCGTAATTGAAGGTAGGAGTTGGCTACGGGTACAAAAACATCAATTAACTGTAAAGTATAGGGACTAAAACCATAATTTTGAACTATAGGAACAAAAATTGTAACTTTTAACAAACCACAAGGACCAAAAACGTAATTTACTCTAAATTATAATACAAGTTTTTAAAAATTTCCTATTGTTTTATAATTGTATCTATTTTAATGAAAGTATTTATAGCAGAGATGATGATTATCCCCGACCTGGTGGAGAACCCGATTCACTCGACCCGAATTAAGACAGGGATTCCCCGCTAAAACGGGTCCTAGGACCGGGGATCCCTAGTAGACTCAATCCGGGTATAGGGGATGTTACTCAAATTGGGGCCGGAAAATCCCGGATAAACTCAAACTAACGGATATTCTTCATGGGGTTTGATCGGGGGTTGATAGAGGTTTGATCGGGGACGGAATGTTAATCCTTGTACCAGCCAGGGACCAGGGCTGGAATCGGGGATTACAAAATCCGGCTCATACCCGCCCTGTTGCCATGCCTAATTTATAGGTTTATTTTAATACTAAATTTCAAAAATTATAACTATAAAACAGTGTATATTCTAAGTAAAAAAAAATCAGACTGAGCCCAGTATCGTATTTGCGATCAGTATTAGAGTATGACTAGAACCAGTAATCAGGCATAGGTTAATCAGGATTGGTAGGCCCAAATTGCACCCGACTTGATTTCAGACCATTTTCAATTCATTAAGGTTGCTTTATCGGATTGAGTTTTTAAAATTTTAATTAAATTTAAAAAACTAAATTATCAATTTGCATCTAACTCAAATATCAATTGTGATATTTGATATTTGTCCAAAGGGACCAAATTGTAATTATGTCAAAGAAAAGGGGCTAAAACGAATTATTCAGAAAAACCGTTGATATTTTCCGCTTCAAAGTTGATGCTTCAATCCACCGTCGCCAGCCAGTGGTTCTGTTTTCGCAGGTAAAAATGTTGGTAACACCGTCTGCCTCCAATAAAACTCCGCCACCATATCCGACCACCGCCGTCGCCTCCTCCATCAACCACCCTGAAAATCCACAAATTCACCTCAAATCCATCGATCGCCGTTACATTCTAGCTTCACTCGCCGCCTCAATCACCCCATTCTTCGCTCCTCAACCTCCTGTCAGTTACGACGAATCTCCTCCTTTACTTCCGATCTCCGTATTACCCTCCGCCGCCGCTCGCGGCCTCTTCCAAATGCCCCCTGTTCGTCTCTCCAATCGGTAAGCATATATCGCCATGGATTTTTTTGACCTAATTATCTTCTTAACAATGGCGGAAGTAGTAAATTTTGAAATTACAGGTATTATTTGGTTAGGGCAGGAGAATCTGAATTCGAGAGTTTGGGGATAATCAATACAAATCCAGTTGCGAAAACATCTGTGGATAATGGATTATCAAATATAGGGAAGAAACAGACGGTGAGAGCAGCTTTGAGATTGAAGGAAATGGGAGCTTGTGAAAATAGTTGCTGGATTTGGCCTTCAATTACTCAGAGATCTTATCAGGCTGCTGAGGTCATTGCTGCTGTTAATGGAGTTAACAGGAGGTAAGAATCACTCCTTTCACTTGGTTTTCATACCGATTAAAAGTTCATTGGTTAATTCGTGAGATCCGTGAGAACTTCTATCTTAAGGTTTTGCCTCACACGGAACCTATCTCTAGTGACACCAATTGGTGGGGGCATTTGGCTCACTGAGAATCGTCGGGGGCGATCCAGGGTCCCGTCTTGTATTTGAACAAAATCACCCCACACCGTTACCAACTGTGCTACACGATCGAAGCTACGTTTGGCCATTATTGATCCTTTGTTCTTTATGTGTTTGAATTGAATAGTAATATAGTTCCAGAGTACAGTTTCTTGGATGCTCGTGGATTAGGAGCATATGAAGGCAAGTCTTTACAATCTGTTTCAGAAGTAAGTTTTTTTTTCCAACTTTTTGGGTTTATTTTTTCGATGGATCGTTGATCTTTCGGTATCGTGGTAGATATATGCATCGGATGGTCTTTCCACAAACATTAAACCGCCCCCGATCAACGATGGAACGCCAAACGAGAGCGTTGCCGATGTATTTGTTCGTGTGACGCAACTAATGTCGATTCTTGAAACTCAGTACTCGGAGGACACTGTTATCATTGTGTCACCGGACTCGGATAACTTGACAATACTACAAGCGGGCTTAGTTGGACTCGATCTTCGAAGGTCAGTGATTTGATCATCTTCGTGTTCGTTTTAAAGAAACTTTTTCCTGTAAAAAGGGTATGATGCCATCTCGTAACCCAACCATTCTGGTCCTCCTAAATCAAGGTCGTTTTGGACATATAACCTACAAATGAGATTTTAATTAAATTCATGACATTCTCGCCAATTAAAAATGACTATGAGAAAATCTAGATTTAATTAAAATATTACAATGAGAACAAGTTTTCTTTGGTAGAGTTGGTTTGCAAGGCTTTTCTCTTACTCTAGACTCGAGTTTGAATCCCGTTGGTGTTATTTTCTTAGTCAAATGGTGTCATCATTTGAAAAAAATTCTGAGTTCGTCACTAGAATGGGTGGTATTTAGAGTCGAACCTAAAGTCACAAGGACCCAAAGTATATCTTGTTTCTTAATGCTCGACGAGTGGATTGTTGATATAAAAAGCAGACGAGAACCGTGTTAAAAACTCCATGTAATAACGAACGATGTTGATTTTTTTCAGGCATAACGAGTTATCGTTTGAGCCCGGGGAAGTTCGATTCTTCGATCCGAGTAGCATTCCTACTTACAAGCAACCTGCTTCTGCTTTATATAAATGTTTAAACCCTCCCCGTTGTACATGAATAAAGAGGAATAAACGTCATCTTTGTATAAAAAACAGCAATAAGGGGGCGTTTGGTTCAGGCAGAGGAATGAAAATGAGTATGAAAATAAAAATAACAGCCATCAGTTTAATATGGAATGAAAATTTGGGCTTCTGAAAGAATGAACTCATTATATTATAAAAAACCAAAGAGTTTCTTTTATTTTCATTCACATTAATTACTGTATAATTAAAAAATTAAAAAATAATATATATACCAAAACTTGCAGCACTATAAAGACACGCAACAACTTGCGGCAACAGAAGAAAAAGTGTCTTACGGCGTTGACTTGTGGTTTCTTGACTGTCTTATGGGGAAAAGTTATGTTGATAGATTTTCTTATATGAAAGTCTTGTAATTATCTGTGTTGATCCAAGAATAAAAGGCCATTTGACGAAATCGAGTGCTAGTTGAAATGAGGTCAAAATCGTCAACAAACGGATTAGATTGTCATCTAGTCAAAAGAAGATTAATACAAGATAAAGTTAAAAGTAATATAATAAATACTATTTTTGATATACGGAATTTGAGTGCAAATTTATCCAACAAGTTTGACTTACCAACTATATCGACTCTTATCATGGTATAGGAACATGTTTGACATGTCAGACAAAATAAGTTCTAAAATATTATTTTATTAGTATTATACTTTCTTTACTGTTCCCTCTGCATATAGAAAGATGAGTTGGGTTAACAAATGTCCGCATCAATTTAAAAGGCTGAAATGAAGAGTACAAGTATGCACTAATCAGCAAATCAAATAAAAACACACGTAAAAGTTAGATAGCAATATTTTAATGCATTGATGGCTGTAAAAGGTCATCATTGTCATTTGTTGCAACTCAACCGTTCTGAAATAAATTATGAGTGATAGTTTATTGGGCAAAATCGACATCACCATCTGAATGACTATCCCAGTACCTCATATCTGAAATGTCAACATTAATAATGTGCATTGAGATGCACTAAATCAATTATCTTCTAAAACACAATTCATGAGCAGACATGAGATTAAAAAATAATCAAATGTGTGAGTTTTTTTTTTTTTTTTACGTTTCTCACATTAACTTCATTTCTCATATGATCATTCGTCATCAAATAATGTTACCTCATTTTTAGGGAAATTGACTCAAATGACCATTTCTCGTACTCAAAAGTCAAATTGGTCTCTTAATCATTTCTCTTACGTGTTTACCAAAACTTCCATTTTGGTACATAAAATATAAAGTTTGAAATATTTAAGTATCCAGTTAACCAGTTGAATACTAATTTTACATTAAAAAAAGACTAATTTTAGTTAAAAAAAATCTGTCACTGACCACGTCAGCAAATAATACTAAGTTTGATATCACATCAACATGACAACCGTTAAATACTTCAACCGGTTACCCGAATACTTAAATATTCAAAACTTTATATTTTAAATATCAAAATTAAAGTTTAAAAATTACGTTATCTAAAATAAAAAGCAAATTAAAATTTATTATTTTTTCATAATTTAATCTGATCCAAATATCTCCGGATCAGCCACGTTTGAATGTAATGATTATTAAAAGATAAATTATCTCAAAGGACTCTTATTAAAAAGTACTCTCCACCGACAAATCCTAGGCTGACACGTAAGCAGCATGTATCTTAACTTCACCTGATTATTTTTCCGGTATATTGATCTTTCCTGCGGTGCGTTACAGCGAATAATAGTGGGACTCCCAATGCTCACCACCTCAAAAATTCCGAACATTTAAAACTAACTGGATTTTTAAATTATTCTTTAATTTCTTATAAATGTCAATTAAAATAATTTTAATAATTATGTTTAAAATAATTTAATAATTTTATTTAATATAATTTAGAAGCTGTTTGGTTGATTTTCATTAAGTCATATATGAATAAATCTATTTATATCAGTTAATCTGTTTGTATAAATTTGAAATGTTTTTGTCTTGAATGATGAAATGAGCATTTTTTAAATTGGGAGGAATATGGTTGGATTTTTTTTTTTGGTTTTTTATGTAAAACCTACTTTTAGCAAATTAGTTAATAAGCTAGATGATAGCTGATAAACTAGTTGATGGCTGTTAATTTATAAGCTAGTTGATAAACAAATTATGTTTGACAAAACTAGATGATAAAAATGTAAAATGACCAATAAATGACATCTTAAAAAATTAATCAATTATGATATTTTAAAATATAGTTGAAACAAATCTCTAGTAATATAATATATTAACTAATATAATATGATAGAAAAATTAAGGAATATAATATATTGATTAAGTGGATTTTAAATTATGTATTATAGTATTTGAATTTGTGAAAACAAATTTAAAAAGGAATATTATTTAGGATTTAAAATAACCGTTACATATAATAAAAAATAAAAATAAAAATGTTTTATCTTACGTGTCTTAGTTAATTATTATTATTTAAATATTTTAATAATTAAATTAAATATTTATTTCAAATTATTTAATGTATTTTTATTATCTATGAAAAAAATAAGTATAACTTCAAGGTTTACGTTACATAAACGTTATTAAAATTGTTATATTTGCGTTTTGATATGATTAATAATTATTGTAGATAAATAATAAATAATATTAATGTACAATGTATGATTAAAATTAATTAATAGTTGTTTTTCAATTTATATTTAATAATAATTAATATTTATTTATAACTACTAGTAATAAAATAATAATTAATATTAATGAATATTATAATTAGAAAAAAATGATAATAAACTACTAAAACGCTACTTCAAGTAACATTTCAATAAGCTAGCTTATGTATATATAAACGTGTACCCATAAAATAAGTTGGTTCATTTTACCAAACAATGCCAAAGTTTTCCCCTTTAAAGTTTACTGGATAAGTCACTTTTTATATCATTAAGTTACTACAAACAGTCATGTTACTGAACCCAATGAACGACTTTTTTTTTTTGTAAGGGTGTCCGGGCCAAAGCCCGACTAATCCCCGGCAAATTTGGAGGCTAAACATGGCCCCATAAAAATGTCGCCAACACTCCCCTCTCAGGGCTCGAACTCGGGTTCATGACTATGACATGCCCAAGCCTTCACCACTAGGCTGGAAGGTCTTTGACCCCAATGAACGACTTACTGGTTAGGTGAAGCTCAACCCTTAGACGGATATTTATCTACAAGAGTTAAAGATTCTGTCAAATCCCCACCTATGTTTTCGCAATTAACGGAGTTCGAGTAAAGATAATGTTATCATCAGTCTCAACGGTTCAAACCGTGATATGTTGAATTAATTCAAAAGCATGGTTGAAACACCACATCTATTTGCTTTAAGCTGATACATATAATGGATCAACAGATCTCGGTTTTGTGTCTGTGGGTTGAGCAAATGCAAAGAAGCAAAAGGGAATGTCGGGTGTGTTCCTCTAAGGAGCCGTTTACTAAACGCTTACTCGGTAAGTGCTTACCGAGTAGTTTTTCTTATCTGATGAACATGGCAAGGGTCAAAGATCTTACCCGGTAAGAGCCATGATAAAGATGGAGAGTCTTACTCGGTAAGTGAGGGTGATGACTTTTACCTGGGTAAGTATTTACCGGGTAAATTGTTGCATACTCTACCATTTTAATGTACTACAATCTTACTCAGTAAAATAAATTATAGTGTTGACTCCTAACGGTAAGTGCTTACCGGGTAAACATTTAGGTAAACGACCCCTAAATGTTCATATAGGGTCAAGAGAGGAGGATTTTTTTTTCTTTTCAAAACGATCTTAAAAATATAGAAAATGATAAAATGACCAATTTACCCTTGACAATTGACGAACACAGTGCATTGACATTTGGGTCAACAACCAACTCCAGAACAATAATAAGTAAAGTTTCGGGACCAAATCTGCAACAAACTCTAAATCACATGAACCAAATCCGTAATCTACTCTTAGAAATAGAGTAAACTACATATATGGTCCGTATGGTTTGTCAAAAATAGCACTTTTCGTTCTTACAATTTCAAAAACTACAAGATGACCATTGTGGTTTACAATAACATCCAGATTTGATCTCTTCCTTTAACGACCGTTAAATAAATCCATTATACGAAAGCCATTTTCATTTGTTTTTTTTTTATCAATCAAAAACAATTTTTTGATCTTGCTTCATGTGGTTTTTGATACGGTAAAAAACAAAAAAATGATAAAAAAAGACAAAAATACCCTTGAGTTAATAGAACTTTTCAACTGCCATTAACGGAAGCGACTAAATTCGAACACTATTACAAATAATTGGAATCATGTGAGACCAATGGTTTTTCACGAGACCCGTAAGACCAATTCTCTACCCTTAGATTAGATCTACAATATGAACATTCATAATCACAAAATAGCCACGAGACTTCACAATAATCACAAAATTGCCATCATGCAACTGTAGATCATTGGCTTATAAAGTTTGTAAATAAACATAAATTGATCTTATAGGTCTCACAAAAAACTTTTAATCTCACGTGAACCCAACCTTTGTTATAAAACCAAGATGACCACAATAAAGTAAAAAAGAAAGCTCCAAATACCCATCGGACATTTTGGACCATAAGAGCACTATTGCAGTAGACCCCCAAAACCTCCCTCATTTATCAAACCTTCGTCAACATCCAACTTTCTTCTCATTCGCCACTCCATTTTTTCAGCTCACCAGCTCTCTCTCTCTCTCTCTCTCTGCAAAACCCTTTGCTTTTTCCCTTTCGAATCAAATCAAGTTTTTGCCTCTGCCATACCCATTTCCAATCTCCAACAATTCCCCAATTTCACACACCTACATCGACCAAAATCGTTCGTTTATTCTCTTATGATTCCAACCTTTCAACACCCACAAACGGGAACAATACAATCGGTTTATGAGTAGAAACTAGGGTTCTTAAAGCTCTATATGGCGGTCAGAGGTGTCGATTTTAAGTGGTTAGTTCTAATCATTCACTCCTTTTTCAAACCGTTGGTGTTCTGAATCTCTAATTTGATATGAACATTTAGTTTGATTTTAACGAATTTCAGTTCTGGATTCTGTAGGTACGATGGGTTTTTCCTATCAATGCTTGCCACCAGTATGTATCCTTTTGAAATCATACAAATAGCTTGCATTTCAGTTTCAGTTTCAGTTTCAGTACAAGGTTTTGTCATTGTTGATTCTTGACGATTGTGATCGATAGAATAATTGTTGCGATCAACTGGAAGCGTTACCATCTCTGTACGCACCCTTTGCACATATGGATCGTGGTGTGTAATTAGCGAATAACACCGGATCTTGCTTTTGTTTGATTTGTATTGTAACTTTTGATCAATGGGTTGTTTGCTGTTTTTGATTTAGGTGGATTATACAACTGTTTTTGTTTTTCGTTTGTTGATGTTTGTGGACAATGGACTTGCTGCTGGAATGGGATTGTAAGTCTTTTATACTCTTAGGGGCCGTTTACCAAATGCTTATTCGGGTAAACGCTTATCAAGTTACATTACCTTACTAGATGAATATGGCAAGAGTCAAGAATCCTACCCGATAAGAGCCAGGCAAGGACCAAGAGTCTAGGGCAATGACTCTTACCACGGTCAGCTCTTACCGGGTAAATTGTTGCATATAAAGCTGTTTTTGTTGACTTAAATCTTACCCAATAAGTAAATGATAATGTTGAATTTTACGGGTTAGTGCTTACCGGGTAAGTGTTTGGTAAACGGGTTTATGATCTTATTTCTAGTTGATGCTATTATGATTCATCCTATTGGTGTAAGTTGAATTTTGGGAGCCATTAGTATGATTAAATGCAGATGAATCAGTCTGTTGTTCGATACAATTCTCGAATGTTAACATCTCTAATGGCTTCATAAGTTAGGCTTACGGGTTACAATCATGTGACTAAGATAACCCTGAACCCAGTTATCGAGTTGTTTCATTCTTTAACCTTGAGGGCCAATAAAAGTGGCAAATAAAGGCCAGGACTTGGGGCTTCTTATGCTAGGTCACCAAGGAATTTCAGAAAGGATTAGTTGCATAACGGAATTGGAGATGGAAGGTGGACAAGTGTCAAAAGATCCACACCATCATGATACAAGGAGGAGCAAAAGGGAAAAGGTGTCAAACTAGAATATTCTCACGACTGGATTTTATATAAGGAAGACTTGATAAGTGATGAAGGCAGAGAATTCACTGGCTATTTTCTTCACTCATCGAGCCTTCCTTATATAATACAGTCGTGAGAATATTTCTTGTTTGGCACCTTTTCCCTTGCTCCTCCTTGTCTCCTGATGGTCTTGTTCTTTTGACACCTGTCCACCTTTTGTCTCCAATTCTGTTATGCGACTAATTCTTTTTGAAATTCTTTGGTGACCTGGCATAATAGGGCTCCTCCCCATAAGTCGCCAGTTTGGGTCTCCTTATGGTTATGGTCAGTGGGGATTTTACTGGCGGTTATCTTCAAGGTCACATGGGATTAGTTGAGGTTCAAGCAAGCTGGCTTAGACTCCCATGGTTACCAAATAAAAGGTTGTTTGGTTCTTTCGTGATCTATGGAAGGGTGATGATGTTTGTACTCGGTTTTATATATCACGTCCTTCGTTAAACTAGGATGTACTTTAGGCATCTTGAGTAGTAACGAATGGTTAATGTGATGGATTCTCTTGTTTACTATTTTTTGGATTATTGTTTATCAAGATTACGGACGGATTTGAGTCTCAAAGTTGCTATCTAAATAGGGATTTTGGTCGGCAGCAGAGACAAGCTCGTTTTTGTGGAAGAGTGGTGGTGTTATCCATTCTTTCTGTGTTTCTCTATCCTTTTCTCTGGGCATGGACAATTATCGGTTCTCTATGGTTCAGCAGTGCAAAAGACTGTGTACGTCTCCTGTTCGTTTTCTTCAATTATCTGTATTTGCTTCTCCCCCCCTCCCCCGCCCCCGAATAGCTGCTCTATCGGTTCTCTAGAGGTTAGATCTGCGTACATCCCACCCACCAATCCTTACTTTCGAGTGAAATATACTGGGTTCGTTTGGTTTGATTGTTTAATTATTTTTATTTATTTCTCACACCTTTGGACAAGCTGGGGATTTTCACGGAAACAATCGCTTGACCTTTTGGGGTAGAGGTCGGGTCTGTGTACATCCCACCCCCAAACCCTATTTTCGAGTGGGATGTTATGGGTTTCTTTGGTTTACTAATTACTAGTATTTTTTTGAGAGAATCTTGTGATGGAGGTGATTTGTATATTTCATTTCAGCTGCCCGAAGAAGGTCAGAAATGGGGTTTCCTTATATGGTTGCTTTTCAGCTATAGTGGGCTCGTTTGCATTGCTGGCATGTGTATGAAAAAGGTACAATATGAACTACAATCCGAGTTTCACAATCTTGATATATATATATATATATATATATACATATATATATATACATATATATATATATATATAACATTTATGTTTATATAATGTCTCTTGTGCAGTGGTTAACAAGAAGGCAAGCTCATTCACTACGGGCTCAACAAGGAATTCCTATTTCGGAATATGGGGTACCCTCAATTATCTTGTTTTACTTCCTTCCTAAACCCACGTGTATAGTTACTTCCTTTCAAGCATATGGGTCTTTTGGTCTTTTTATGCTAGTTAATCATGATAATATGTTTTCTTTGAGGGTAGAGGTCAGGTCTGCATACATCTCACCCCTCCTAGACCCACCTTCGGGTGGGATCTACTTTACTCATTTGGTTTTTGGTATGCCTTGTTTAATTTTTTGCCACTTTTTATTGGTTTTGATCTAATCATTTATGGGAATACAGAATACTCAATTGATGATAAGAGGGAAATTGGCCATCTGAGGCTCGTATGCGCAAACTCTTAGGGTCCGTTTGGTTTTTAGGAATGTTTTTGAGGGATTTGGATTTCATTGAGGGATTTGGATTGGAATGGATTTGAAATCATTGATGTGTTCGGTTTGTAGGATTTGGAATGGAATTGGATTTCATTATTTATAAATAATTTATAAAAATAATTAACTTACATTTTTATTAATCGATTATTACAAAACAAATGTTTTTAACATTATTTAAAACCTTATTGCATACAATCCTACGAAATCCCGTAAAATCCCGAGCACTCCCTAAGGATTTCAAAATTCTATGTTTGAAGGATTTCAGATGCAAACAATCCAACAAACCAAACATGGGATTGCAATGGATTTGAAATCCAAGTCCCCCCAAATCCATTCCATTCCTGCAAACCAAATGGGACCTTAGGTCCTATTTGGTTTGACTAAATGTTTTCTAGGGATTTGGATTTTGTGAAATGTTTTTGACCCATTGTAATGGTCCCATGGTTATTATGGGGGAGGTAAATCGTGTGTCCCTAGTGCAAGTAGGCGGTGCCTGAAGTCGAACCCTCCCACTTATTCTGTAAAGATGCTCACCTCCTTACCGGCTAGGCCAGTACCACTGGCACAATTAGCCACTTCATGTTTGAGCCTCTCTCCGAGTCAGTGCCTAGATCGTTACTCCTTTTGTGCGGGTCGTAACTTAATCAACAAGAAATTTCGCTACCTTAGGTGCCAGTTTCTCCCTCTGTCCCAATAAGTCACATTAGAGTTCTTTTTAATATTTTTCTCATAGATGTTATACTTTTGGTTAATCTAGGAGAACTCAAACGATACGAAATCTTGAGTACCCCTAATCCTTCCTTCGTTGTAGAGGAAGTACGAGAGTTACATAACTTACAAGTGTAAAAATGGACAAAAGAGCGACTCTAATAGTCATGTTCCTAAAGAAAGGTTCGTAATGGAGCAAGTATCGTTTAACATTCGTACATCATTAAACCGCTCTTATATCTAGAAGCTTCGGAGTGTGTTCACTTCTTTATGTGTTCCTTTGGGTTTCACCGCTTATAAATACTTTTGAGCTCGTTTTAGCCTACTAAAATACATTGGGATAAACGGTTTCTTGTCACAAACGACTCATGGTGACAAAACCAAATGAGCCCAATATATCCCACCTGGAGGTGGGGTCGGGGTAAGATGTACGCAGACCTGACCTCTAGCTACGTTGTGAACATAGCTTATCTTTAGACATCCGATCTAACTTGTGTGCTTTATATTATTTCTTTTGGTTATATGTTGCTGCTTGGCCTTTACCAAACGAATCTGTGGTTCCAGGTGCTGGTTGACATGATCCGCGTTCCAGATTGGGCGTTTGAAACGGCTGCGGGGCAAGAAATGAGAGGCATGGGTCAAGATACCGCTTCATATCATCCCGGACTCTACTTAACCGAACCCCAGGTACAATTAGTTATGGTATGCAACACAGGATAGAACAAAAACTTGTTGTCTCACGTTCGACGTGACATTAAACTGGGACAAATCGACAATACAAGACTGAGTAGAACAAAAATGCATTTTGTTCTGTCCCGTCAAAATAGGTGGAACAAAAATCAAGGAGATGAACAAGATTTGTAAATTACTAAATTACCCATGTCAAATTGATCTCCTTAAAACCTTCCACAATTCTTTCGCCCACTTACCTTACTCTCGCCTAGGGGAGTAAACAAGCCGAGTTGAATAGCAGGTTATTCGAGCTTGGCTCGAAAAGAGAATATCAGGCTCACGCTTGACTTGAGCTCGATTAACATTTTCAAAGTCGGGATCGAGCTCGAATATTTTTTCAATGTTTGAGCTCGAATTCGAGACCGATTAACTCATTTATTTACTCAAGCTCGATGATTTTTATATTTAGATGATATAATTTCGAAATATGTTTGGCTTGAAAAAGTGTATGCTCGAATGGCTCAGCTCGACTTGACTCGTAAAGTTTAATCGAGCTTTCCAACAAATCGAGTCGAGCATCGGTGTTATGGAGCTCAAGTTTTTAGTTAAGCAAGTTCTATTTTGTGTTCGAGATCGTCTCGAACTCGATAATTATTAAGCTCGAGATAAACAAGCTCGAGTAGCTCGTTAAAGCTCGACTTGTTTACACCCCTACTCTCGCCATTACAGTCCTGGTTTGTCTCATTCACATACCAAACGCACCCAAAGGAGGCTTGAAACTCTTTCCCGTCTAATGTCGATTTTTAATTTTGATAAATTCAGAGAGAGGCCGTGGAAGCACTCATTCAAGAACTTCCAAAGTTCATGTTGAAAGCGGTTCCGACTGATTGTAGCGAATGCCCAATTTGTTTGGAAGAGTTTCATGTCGGGAACGAGGTACTATTGTCGAATGAATATATTCAATATCCTGTTTTTTTTGGGTCAAATCTAAAGCGAACGAGTTATTTCTTGCTAAAACGGGTTTTAGGTGCGTGGTCTTCCATGTGCTCATAACTTTCATGTGGCATGCATCGATGAATGGCTTCGGCTGAACGTGAAATGCCCTCGATGCCGATGCTCGGTTTTCCCCAACCTTGACCTTAGTGCTCTATCCACCATCCCTGCCGATCCTGACCGGTTAACCGTTTCAACGACTCGTTACATGCGGACTCAACCATCGAGCCAGAGTTATCTGTTGAGAATGCAGGGTTTCCTCCGGCCAGTCCGCACCGGCTCCACCTCTGATTCCGACACCGCTTTGGAAACCGCAGAAAACGGAGGCCAACCGGTCGAGAACCAGAACCAGAATCAAAATCATAATCTTCAGACAAGTACAGAACCTGAACGATGATCCTTTTTTTGACTTCTACAAGCGTTCTACCTGCCTCATAACCGAGGTGTAAGTTTTTGATGCTCGTTTACCGTTTTACTTCACTTCTAACTATACGAATCTAGGAAAGCGAAATCCGAATCGTCCCATTTGTCGGGATTAATTAGCGCGTTTCTTGATTCGTTAACTAAAGTATGTTCAGGGACATGTAAACAAGTTATGACATGCGATTTTAAGCAAGTTATGGGATAGTTCGTAAGTTTTGTTAGAGTCCCACGTCGGCTAGACTTGGATCTGTTCTCGATATACGTTGTAACTTCCCTCGTCTCTTCAAGGCCACTTTTGGAGTGTAATTTAAGGCGGTTTTGCATATTTTACGTGGTATCAGATCCAAGGTCTACTGTCCCAGGGCAATTTGTGCTTGTTTAACCTCCTAAGGGGCGTGTTATTTTCCTCAATATATATTGGAACCTTCTTTTTTAATTTTATGCCGCTTTACGTAATTTTACATGGTATCAGAGCCAAATTCTACTATTTTAGGACAATTTGTACCTCTCTGGCCTCCATTGGAAGAGGGGCGTTATTCTCCTCGATATATGTTAGAACTTTTTTTTTCTTCCCATCAAGGGCATTCTTGGAAAGTAACTTAATGTGGCTTCACGTACTTTTACATGGTATCAGAGCCAATGTCTACCACTCGAAGACAATCTGTAACAGAGGACGCTTGTTAGAGTACCACATTGCTAGATTTGGACCTATTCTTCTTGATATATGTGCCCTTACATCTGTTAAATAGAAGCCATATTGGAATTAATGAAATCAACTTGTACCAATTTTAACTACAAGGGTGGTGCCTGATTGGTTTGAGCTTGACTTCAAAGGTCAAAAGTGATAAGAGGTTCCAGGTTCAAATCCAAGAAGGAACAAAAATATCCTTGTGGCTATGGAAGTTCAAATACAGTGACTCTGGACAATCCAAACATTAAAAACGTTTATTTAAACTGGTTCTTTTTTTAACGTATGTATTTTGAATATTCGCATCTAAACCCATCTACAACACGTAAAAAGTAGTCTCGACAAATTGCCAATCAACTTACATGTAGCGTTTTTGTATACGGTTTTTGTAATAAATTGAATCGGTCGAAAATCTTGTGTTTACGTTTCTAGTCGGTATTTCTCGGGATTCGTAATTTTGGAGTTCGGTAGCCCCAAAATACTCGTTAAAAAACAATGGAAAATTAGGCTGAATGGTGAGGGTAGATGTGTAATTTTATAGATATTTTTAATTTTATAAAATTTTCCCTCGGAAAACTAGAAAACATAAGCATCTTTTTTCCTTCGCGAAAAGACGATTCGAAAACACAACATAAAGGTATATTTAATGCGCGAGATAGAACAGAATAAAGTAACATTGCTTCACGTAAGGGTATGTAGAAAGTTATCTGATCCAGTTTAAACTGTTTGGTTTAATTGGAACTGATCAATCATAATTACATATTTACATTTTACGATATTGCTTTTTAGTTGATATTTATATTTAGTGGTTTTAATAAATTAAAAAATCTATGAATAATTTATTGAAATGATAGGTTAATTTGGAGCTGTTTGGCAGTTGCTGAATAGTTTGGTGCAGAATGATTAAGTGGTCAGAATGATTAAGAAGCTTTCATGATATAGTGAAAAATTAAACATAGTTTGGTAATTGTTTGCAATGAAATTATGGCGTTGAATGGTTAAGGAAGACCCATGATAACAAATCATTTAGAGGGTTTTAAAATCACCAATAGATGGTTGAATCAGATCAAATTTGCTTAAAACCATTGGATTTCAACAGATGAATACCTTCAGTCTCATGTCTGCATGACATTGGACTGAGATAACATTGAACTAACAACGACAAAAATGCAGTTTTTTTGTCCCATTTAGATGGTTGGAATAAAAACAAAGAATATATGGAATAAAAATAAAACAAAATTTGCAAAATTAATATAATGATATCGTAAATCACAAAAATAAATTATAGATTACTAGAAGAGTACTCGTGCAATGCAGCGAGACACATATCGATTTTAATGTTCTGTTTTATTATTTGCCTCTGTCAATATTAAAATATGGTTTTTTGTGTTTTTAAGAAATCAATAATGATTTTATTTTTGAATAAAATATAAATTTGAAGATATCATAAAATTTAAAAAAAAATATATATCAATGTCAATATCAAACCAACTATTTAAAAGTT